CTCATATTTATTGTTTGAGTAGGAGATAATACTTCGCTTATGTAACATAAAAAAAATATTATCTTGTTTCCAAAAAAAATTTGTTTTCAAAAAATAAATAAAAAATATTACCCTTTTTTTATTCAAGAAAATAAATCGGCCACTGAGAATAATAAGAAACAATATTTTTTTTTGCTATTTTGTTTCCACACAATATTTATTAAATGCTCACATCGTATAATATGTTATTAGGATTAAATATAAATAATTTATTAAATACATATTCTCCGAGTGCCAATAGAAACAAATTGTGTTATCAAATTCCCAACCCCCCCAAAAAAAAACTTTCTAAATGCATAAATAAAAAATTATTTCTTTTTAAAAACAATGTAAGAGAACATAATATCATCATGCAAACCGTTTGATTAATTTTGCAAGTCAAGGCATCTAACAATTATAAATAAAGAAAATAATCAAAGATCAATTATAAAATAATAAATTTTATGTTCAATCTTAGCTGTTGATATCCATCTATCAAGCGATTGTAATTGATTTTGTTATTCTCATTAATTAGTTATTAACTCCCAATAAATTATAACTGTTAAATATACAAAGATCAACGATTAAGATTGAGTGTAAGAATTATTATTTTTACACCAGTGAAAAATGATTCTGCCCATATATATATATATATATATATATATATATATATATATATATATATATATATATGGGGAGGGATCTTTTGACTCTAGAGTAAGACTTACAACTCTTACTCTTCATCTCAACCGTTGATTTCCGTACATCTAACGGTTATCTATAACAATTAATTATTTGTTTATTTTAAATAAATAGTAACCGTTAGATGGACGGAAATCAACGGTTGAGATGAGGAGTAAGAGTTTTAAGTCTTACTCTAGAGTCAAAAGATCCCTCCCCTATATATATATATATATATATATATATATATATATATATATATATATATATATATATATAGGGTCAGAATCATTATCTCCTACTATAAGTTATCTCATGTTGTTGGAGATAATTATCTCCTACTATAGACACATAATGTGGTGGATCTCACCATTTATTAAAAAAAGAAAAAAAGAAAAATGGTGGCACAATTTTTGATGTGAGACAACATGAGAGAGTTATCTCATGTAAAATGAGATAATGATTTTCCATATATATATGAAGGGTTTTATTAATCTCCTTTTACATAAGATAGGTATCTTATGTTGTAGAGAGAAACTAGGTGGGTCCCACCATTACAAGAAAAAAGAAAAAGAAAAAGAAAGTGAGGTGCAGAAATCGAAGTGAGAGAAAATGAGATAAGCTACCTCATGTAAAAGGAGACTAATATTTTCCATATATGAATTTGTTTTTTCTGCAGTCAATATAGATGAGTTATCTACACTGAGTCCAAAATGATGTCGTTTTGGGACGGAAATTAAGGTGTTTTTGTAATTATAATTTATTTCAAGGTTATAATAGTCTCTATCATTATAATTTTTTAATCTTTCAACTCAAAACAACGTCGTTTTAGGAATGAATGTAGATAACTTATTTACATTTACTGTAGAAATATTAAAGTAATATAATATATTGATAAACAATTATCTTTCTATTTTCATTTGAGAAGGGATAATAAAAGCTTGGAAAGAGATATACTCATATACTCTGTTTGGTGCTGATTTCATGTTTCACACGCTCGAACGGTCACTACTAAATAAGTATGAATTTGCGAATGATTTTAAAGACGAAAAATATTTCATTCTTAATTGGAACGGATTTAGAGACGAAAAAAAATCTATTTCTATTTGATATAAAATTAGAGATGAAATAATTTTGTCTCTAATAAGAATGGATTTTGAGACAGAAAAAGATTTTGTTCCTATTAAGATGGAGAAGAAATTCTACATAACAGTTTGGAATATTGCAAATTTGAGAAGGAGAATAACATTAGAGATTTGGAGATTAACACCATTAGTCAAAATTTTAACAGATATGTTAATTTTTACCATCACAAAATAGAAAAGGTTTAATTGAAACAATTGAAATTTGAAAGTACAAGGCTATAATTTAAAACATCTCAAAGTTTAAGGAACACGTTATATTTTGGCATAATGTGATACAGAATATTATATTAATTTATTATTTTTTAGTAATAGCTTTAAAAGTAATAAATAACATTTAAAATATATAAAAGTAGTTTGACTATATTTTTATTACTATTTAATTTTTATAAGATTTGACACAAATAATAAAGGTGAATAAAAATTATAATTCAATGGTTAAATTAATAACAAAGTATTTTATATCAAGTTATATATTAACTGGTGTTAGAATATTGAATTTTATCCAATGTAAATCAACTTCAACTCTCTCTCTCTCTCTCTCTCTCTCTATATATATATATATATATATATATATATAAAATATAATATGATCTAGATAGAATTAACTAAATGTCTAAATGTTTTTTTTTTGTGGACACTTCTTATAAGAAATTGTTAATTATAATGAGAGTGAAATTCTTGTCAAATTTTCTTAAGGGAGCGTTTGGCTAGCGTCTTTTTGCAGGATTCTTATGCAAATGCAACAAGGCTTTTTGAAATGTCTTGTTTGGTTGGAGGTGTTTTAATCAGAAAGCCAGCTATTCAAGGATGGATGACTTTTTAAATTTTGTCATGGAAAGCTATCGATCTGTACTGTTTAGAAAACATTTTGGAAGATGGGAATTTGTTAAAAGCTGATAAAAGCACTGTGCACCGAAAAATTTGACACCCTTTATACCCTCTGAAAAGGCAAGGGAGTGAAGGGTAAAGGGTTTCAGCCTCTTTTAAAATAAAGGTTATTTTAGTAAAACCATAATTTTTTTCCATCTATATTTTATCAAACTCCAAACATAGACTTTACAAAATTTACTTAATTTTCCCAGTAAATTTTTTTTCTACCAAACAACTTTTTTTTACATTTTCCTATCTATCTCACTTTCTTACCATTTCCCTATCAATTCTATTTCCCCAGTATTCAAAAAATTTCTCCTCAACCAAACGCCCCCTAAGAGATTCCTGGTTCCTAAACACTTTGTTTTACAACAGGTTAAAAATTATATTAAAACAATCAAATAACGGTGATTTAGTTGGCACATGGAAGCTGAAAAAACGAAGCCGCTAGCTCGTGGGGTTGATTTTAGTCAAAATAACAAGAAAGATAGAAAAAAAAAGGGAATGAATTTACAGCACATTTATCTGTTATTTCCTTATATATAGAACATAAGATAAATGTGTAAACTATGTCCTTGAGGCAACGCGCAAATAACGATACTTCTAACTATATACTCATTTTAAAAATTCCACACTAACTGCGTAACAAATCAAAAGAGATTCTTCTCTTTGCTTCCTTCCTCTCTTCCCAAACTCATTGGCTCTTATATTTATTCAAAGAGATTTCAGAATCTTAGCCTCTTATACAGGTTTCATACGTTACTCTTTCTTCAACGTGCATGCATTATATATATACTCTCTCTCTCTCAGTCATTATTCTCTAATTTTATCTTCTTTGATCCCCCCCTCCCCCTATAGTCATATATTGCATTTCACAGATTTTAGTTTGTAGTCATTCATAAATAGTTAGTTTCTGATTGAAGACCTGATTGGTTCTCTGTCACTAGTTTTTATTTTTTGTTTTTTGTTTTCTCCCTTGATCATATCCTTACATAATATAATTCAGAGTTCTTTTTTTTTTCTTACAAAATTGTGGTCGCTAGCTGTAGATTATTTCTCAAGAAGTAATGAATATGTTTTTTGCTTTTGTTAAATTTGTTAAATTTCTTGACCAGTTACATCATCGAAACATGTTCATTGCTTAAGAAACTCATCACTCAATAATTGGGTAAATTTTTTTACATTAATATAGTACATCAAATTTATACTCAAATCTTTTTTTTTTTTTTTTTTTTTTTTATAAATTTCAGGGTGTGTTACTCCACTATATATTTTTTTCGCTGATTTTGAGACCCGAAATGAGTTATCAAACATCATTAAGCATTTTATAATATAAGCTTTGCAATTATCATGTGTTGATCATTGAAATTGAAATTGAGTGGTACAAATCTTATGAAATGCCCTGGGTCAACGATATTTATGAAGACAAAGGAAATGCTCAAATTGTTGGGGTACTTCAATGCTAGTTGGGCTAATTTTCCTATCAATAAGTAGTCTACCTCATAATATTGTGTTTTTGTTGCTGGTTACCTTGTATTTTGGAAATGTAAGAAGCAAAATGTTGTTCTTCATTGTAATGCAGAGGTCAAGTATTTGAGATATGGTAATGGTAACTTGTGAATTTACATGAATGAGACAGTTACTTCGTTAGTTGAAGTTTTGAAATGTTAATCATATGGAGTTATACAGTGATAATCAAGTAGCTTTACATATTGCGTCAAATCCTTCTTTCATGAAAGGACCAAAAATAAAGTAATTGATTGTTAATTAATTAGGGAAAACAATCTCTTCAAGAAAATCACTATCGAATTTGTTAGCTCTAGTGATCAGCTTGCATATATGTCTTTACAAAGTTTTTTTAGGGTCCTCTAATCCACTTTATCTGAGACAAACTTAGTGCATGTGATTTGAATGCTCTAATTTGAGGAGGAGTGTTGAAAAGTTTCTCCTGTACAGGAAAAGCATATCCTATTTTTAGGCTGTGTAATTTGTAAATAATTAGGATTGGATTTGTATTGTTTTGCTTATTTTCCTAGTTTTCTAATATTAAAGATTATAAGTCATGTATATAAAATCAAATCATGGTGAGGAGTTCCTCAAGCAATTCAGAAATTCATCTTAACAGTTACTATCCCTTATTCATTATCACTTTGTCTTTTTTGTTTTGTTTTGTTCTGTTTTATAATATTTTTCTTCTTTTTATCCTATGGAATAGAACTGAAAGTAAGAGGTATAACAGTAATATTGAGCAACGAGAGTAGATCAGCACTAGAGAAACAAATATAGATGGGTTTCTGGGAATTATTGGAGGTGGCTTCTGCCCCAGTAATTCAAGTCCTACTTATCAGTGCATTGGGAGCTTTTTTGGCTACTGACTACTGTAATAATCTTCTCTCAGCAGACTTTAGAAAATCCTTGAACAAGGTAAGAGACAAGCTGAATTCATATCAATTGGTTTGAATCACAAAATCTAATGTATACTCATTTGTTCAATGGTCGCACATTATTTCCTTATAGAACAAGCTATACATTATTTTAATCTAAACATTTTTTTACCCTCTGTTTATGTTTACCCCTTGTGCAGATTGTATTCATTGCATTCACTCCTTCACTTATTTTTGCCAGTTTTGCTAAGAGTGTTTCTCTTGACGATATGATATTATGGTACACATTGATCAATTTCTCACTCCTAGAAACAGTGCTTTTGTATTTTCTTAATTTTATTTTTTCACTGGGTCGGCCCTTTATTCCTACTGGGAAGCCTAAGTATGAATAATATTTTTAGCAAACTTTGGTTCTATTGCTAAGAGTAGTTCTGATAGATCTGTTGATTTATTACCTTTGTGTTACATTGTGCATACGAAGTTATCAACTCGAAATGTGTCATTCTCTTGGAGAAAAAAAGAACAAAAAATGAAATTGAAAAAGGAGGAATCAGATATCCATATGTTTGAGCCTTACACATTGTCTAGAACCCTCTGTCTAAAATTGAGAGCAATTAGTTTATACAAAAATTCCAGCTAACCAAGGTATTTTGAGCCTAAGGCTATTGTAATAACTTTGATATATTTATGCATAAACTACAAACAATGAATGGGGGACACTAATAAACTATAAGCCATGAGTGGAATAGCTATTTATGCATATGAAACTAAGATCACTGACGGGAGTTTCATTGCAATTATTAGTGACTAATACCTTTGTTAGTTTGATGTTGTTATCTAGTCACTAGTAATTGCAATGAAACTATTTATGAATATTTGTGGAATGAAAGCACAAGAAGAAACACATAGAGGGTGTCAATTTGTGGACACAAAAGGGTGTTATTATGGTTTTTTTGTTTTTGTTTTTGTTAACCATGTCGTGTTTACTCATCAATGCAGGTGGTTTATGCCTGTTAATATTGGATTAACCTTCTTGATTGGAGGGATTCTCGGGTGGATAATAGTAAAATTACTAAAGCCAAACTTGAAAGTGGAAGGTCTTATTATCGCTTCATGTTCAACAGGTAGCATAGCATCAAAGTCATGGTATGGTTGGCAAGAGTAAAAATTGGAAGGAATGGAGAGGCATAAGGTGTGAAAATTGACAATGTACTTGGACATGGATGCATGCTTTGATACATTTGTAAATTTTTATTTCTTTCCTCACTCAATCCTTCCATTTTCACTCCTACCAAACACACTTAATTTTCTTTCAAACCCTTTATCTAAAAGCCTCTCATTTCATGGGTGCTTCATTGAACAGGAAATTTGGGTAACCTTCCTGTTGTAATTATCCCTGCCATCTGTGATCAGAAAGGAGGCCCATTTGGTACACGTGATGAATGCCGCAATAGGGCACTCTCCTATGCTTCTTTCTCTTTGGCTGTAATGCATTCATTTTACACTTGATTTGCTTTCACCATCTCAATGTGTATCTCATGTCATCATGTTTTGTTAATTAAAGATTGGTGGCATCTTCATATGGACCTATACATACCAACTAGTACGAAACAGATCCATGAGATACAAGGCATTTGAGGCTGCTGAGATCTTGAAGATTCCCAACATAGACCTAGATGCTAATGCAGAAACTCACCTTCTCAAGGGAAATGACAATGAAAACACTAATATTGGAGACTCAGAGAACCAAATTGTAAGATTCCATGCAATCATTTATTAAAACAAATAATGTGACGATGTTGAAAGTGAAAATGATTTTATACCCTTCACCAAGTATATCCTATATCAAACATCCTCAAAAATTTGCTAGATTATAAAATGAATCCGAATCTGCAGCTTATAAACCAAGGTCCATCCAGTGTATCAATGAACGGGGAAAAATCATCTTGGCATAGAATGATAGAAACTCTGAGCCAAATTCTGCAAGAACTAATGTCACCCCCAACAATTGCTACAGTGAGATAATTTCTTTCCTTTCCCTCCTTTCCTTTTAAGTTTGTTTCTTGGTTTTTAGTTCACTACTTCTGTTTAATTTGATAGTAGAAGTAACTTAATCATGATCCTGAGAAATTTTACCCCGTTCCATGTCAGTTTTTTGGTTTCCTCTTTGGTGGGGTTAAATGGCTAAGGAACCTAATAATAGGACACAATGCTCCACTAAAAGTGATCCAAGACTCCATTGAAATGCTAGGGTATGACCCTTATATCATAAACCCAATATTTTCTCCAGTGTATATTTCTTTTCTGATCACACAGTTATCTGAGACTGAACTTATTCTTTGTAGGGATGGGACAATTCCTTGCATCACCATTTTGCTTGGTGGAAACCTTACACAAGGTATATAAAAAATTAACATCTATAGATATACTTTTCAACAAATTCGAAACAATCTGAAAATTGAAATTAGTTGTTTTTTTAATGTCCTGAAATTGCAGGAATGCGATCATCAAGTATCCAACCATTGATCCTCATTTGTGTCAGCATAGCTCGACTTTTCTTACTACCTGCTATTGGATTTTTTGTTGTTAAAGCGGCTTCAAATTTTGGTTTTCTCCCAGTGGACCCTTTGTTTCAATATGTGCTGGTGATGCAGTATGCATTACCACCTGCAATGAATATTAGTAAGTGATTCCATGCACACTTTTTTTTTATTGAAGTTCGGGTTCTTCTGATGATAATAATGTGTAGTTACCTTGTTGCTGATATCATATTTCAACGACATTATGCAGGTACCATGGTTCAGCTGTTTGATGTAGGCACTGAAGAGTTTTCAGTTATCCTTTTGTGGACATATAGTGCTGCCACTATAGCACTCACTCTTTGGTCAACATTCCTCATATGGGCATTATCTTAAGATGGCTCTATTACCTCAGCCAATAAGTAAAAAACAATCCTATAGTGTTAAAGACTCAGTGAATCTGTACAAGCCCAACTCCTCACGGACCTACAGGGCAGAGCAAGAAGCCCATTTATCTCAAGGATTAAGTCAGATATGGCCCAAGCCCAAGCACTAATTGAAGGATCATATAAGATTAGGATCAATTAGTTTTATATTAGTTTAAATTGAATTATGATAGCTTAATTACTTTAAATTCATGCATTATCAAGTTGTTATTTCAATTATCTTTAGGTTGTTATTTGGTTGTATAAATTTAGAAAACTGATCCAACAATGGATATGGAAATTATTTGGTCATAATTCCATTCTCTGAACTCTCCTTCTCCTTCTCTTAGTGCCCGTTTGATGTGATATATAAAGCTTGATAGTATAAGTTTATACTATATATTATGACATTTTCAGTTATTTGATATGATCATCGTATAGTATAAACTTATACAGCAGAATCTCTTAATACATCAAAATGATGTATAACTTAATCAAACTTAAGGGAATGAGATTAGGCCTGATAAGGGATTGATGTATTAATATTGCTTACAAGTACAATTGTCAAGAACTAATATATCATTGCAATATTAATATATTAAAATAATTTTTTTAATATATTAATTTTTAAAATATTAGAGGATATTATCTTATGCAATATCATATCAAATGCTAAAATTTAATCAAGTCTTATACAATCAGGTCTTATACTATCATATTTTATCCTATCAAGCCTTATCTTATACTATGCACCAAACATGCCCTTAATCTCTTATCCCTTAGGCATCACTTGCTAAAGTCAGAAGAAAAAAAAAATTACCTAATTATATTTATTCTACCCATCTCTTTTAGTTAATGCCACATAAATTCTACTTATTTGACTTTCTCTGAACAATTAAGATAATTGTACAGCAGATTTAGGATGGTATACTGAAAAATTTCGAGAAATTTTTTGCGTTACATGTTCAACAGTGAAGCACACTATTACAATATATTCATTCTCTTATTCTAGAACAATGTATAGGTTGTCATGTAGATTACTGTGGTAACTAACTTGTTTCTCTTATGCCACGTAGGATGTAGTTGTAACAAGCCCAACAAACCTTCTTCTATTGTACTTGCTATATATATAGTTACTTGTATCACAACTTTTAGAGATTGAATAATACAATGAACTTTTCAGTTTCTATTGCTTTGCTACTAATATGGTATCAGTAGATTCTTAGTTCTTCCCTTCGTCATGGTTCGTAACTCCAACACGAACAATGCTTCATGATCAACTACAACATCTTCAACCATTTCATCCTCTGTATCCATGGAGGATTCGAGTATTCCATACTACTTGAGTAACGGTGATCACTCTGGGTTAATCCTAGTTGCTCATGCTCTTCTTGGATCCAATTTCCATTCTTGGAGCCGTGCAATGATGATTGCTTTATCCGCAAAGAACAAATCGTGTTTTGTTGATGGTTCTCTACCACGTCTTGTTCCTGATGATCTCCTGTTTCCTTACTGGAATCGATGTAATTCCATGGTAACATCTTGGATTTTGAATTCTATTTCCAAGGATATAGCTGATAGTCTTCTCTATTTTTCATCTGCATCTGAGATCTGGACGGATCTTCAAATTCATTTTCTTCAAGCTAATGGTCCAAAATTTTTCCAATTAAAACAACATATCTCATCTCTTACACAAGGTAATCTTGATGTCAATGGTTATTACACACGGCTCAAAGTACTTTGCGATGAGCTTCAGGATTATGCTCCAATTCTTGTTTGCACTTGTGGAGCTTCGCGGTTGATATCTGATCTTCATCAACAAGATTATGCTCTCCAATTTTTAATGGGACTAAATGACTCTTTCTCCTCTGTTAGAGCTCAGATACTGCTCATGGAACCTCTTCCACAATTATCCAGGATTTTCTATTTGGTGCTTCAAGAAGAAAGACAACGCCATATTACAAGTTCTCCACCAATGGTTCCTGATACATCGTTACTCAATTCTGCTTCTGGTATGTCTTCATCTTCAGATTCCGGCAATAATCTGGTGGCTGCTACCTCTTCTGCTCCGCTACGCCGTCCACGCCCTCAATGCACCTATTTCCATGTTCTTGGTCACACGAAGGAGAAATGCTTCAAGTTACACGGATTTCCTCCTGGCTATAAGCCCAAATCCATGCAGCCCAGTCCATTTAATTCTTCAGCCCATGCCAATTTCAACATGCTGGCCCTTAACCAAAATGAGTCCAACTCAACCACTCCAACATTGACTTACTCCCAATATCAACAGCGTCTGAGTCTCCTTCCACCTACCACCAACACGTCTCCATCCTTTACCTCACATCAATCTGCCACGGAGCCATCCCCTTCTGTTGCCAGCTTCAGTGGTACGTCATCCTCTTCTCTTCCATTAACTTCATGGGTTTCAGACACGGGTGCTACACATCATGTCACATGTACACCTAATCTCTTCACTTCATCTTTTCAGTCGTCTAACTCTACCGTTTATCTACCAAATAATACTTCAACTTCTGTTCATTCGATTGGTAGTGTTAAAATCTCACCCACTCTTATACTTCATGATGTTCTATATGTTCCTTCTTTATCTTTTAACCTTTTGTCCATCAGTGCACTCACTCGAAATTCATTACTGGTTGCTAATTTTTCTTCTTCATCTTGTTCTATTCAGGACCTTTCCTCGGCCAAAGTGATTGGGACTGCTAAAAGAGTTGGTGGTCTTTACATTTTAGACACTTTGTTTTTTTTCAATTGTGATGTTTCCTCTTTTTGTTCTACTGTTAGAATGCCAAATTATGTTATTTGGCATTCTCGCCTTGGTCATTTATGACATAATGTTCTAAACTCAATGAAAAATGATTTACCCTTTACTGATAATGATTGCATTTCATCTCCCTGCTTGGTTTGTCCTCTTGCAAAACAATGCAGATTGCCTTTCATATTGAATCCCAAAATGTCTCATTCTTCTTTTGATTTAATCCATTGTGACATTTGGGGACCTTTTTATTCTACTTCTGTTGATGGTTACAAATATTTTTTAACCTTGGTGGATGATGCCACTCGATTCACTTGGTGTTATTTTTTGAAACATAAATCTGATTTTCAAATTGTTTTTCCTCAATTCTACACACTGATGTTTACCCAACACAATGTTTCCCTTAAATCAATTTGTTGTTACAATGCACCAGAATTCCATTTGTCTGATTTTTTTCATCCAAAGGTATTCAAATCTTTCATTCTTGTGTTAATAGACCACATCAAAATTCAGTGGTAGAAGAAAACATCAACATATTCTTAATGTTGCACGAGCATTACATTTTTAATCCAACATTCCTTTAGTCTATTGGCCTGAATGCATTTTAACTGCCATATATCTCATAAATCGTACCCCATCCCCACTTTTACACAACAAAACTCCTTTTGAACTTCTTTCTCACAAGTCTCCTTCATACGGTTATCTTAGAGTTTTTGGGTGTCTGTGTCATTATTCCACCCTGTTCAAAACCTGTCACAAGTTTTCCCCACGATCTCTACCTGCTGTATTCATTGGATATCCACCTGTATACAAAGGTTACAAACTTTTGGACCTTAATTCTAACCGCATCATCATTTCCAGAGATGTGGTATTTTCAGAAAATACCTTTCCTTTTGCATCTTCCAAACCAACAGATTCACCATTTCCTACTTTTCCTACTTATCCTCTTTCTACAATCCCTGCACCCTCAACATCAAGACCTTCTCGTATATCTAAACCACCTTATCACCTTCAGGACTATATATGTTCTTCATCCACATCTCATCCTATTTCTAAATATCTTTCCTATAAACACATTGCCCCACCACACCTAGCATATGTCAATGCAATTTCCCAACATTTTGAACCTCAAACATATTCTGAAGCCTCCCAGTAACCTGAGTGGACTGCTGCAATGGAGGCTGAAATCCATGCTCTTGAAGCAAACAACACTTGGCAGATCATTTCTCTTCCTCCTGGTAAACCAGTTGTGGTCTGCAAATGGGTATATCGTGTTAAATATAATGCAGATGGTTCTCTTGAACGATTCAAAGCAAGGCTTGTAGCTCAAGGATTCAATCAACAAGAAGGTATTGATTTCTTTGACACATTTTTTCTTGTGGCTAAGATCACTACTGTTCGATTACTTCTTTCTCTTGCTGCTGTTTCTGGTTGGCATCTCATCCAATTGGATGATAACAATCCATTTTTACATGGTGACTTGCTAGAAGAGGTCTACATGAAAATTTCTCCAGGATATTCTAGTAAGGGGGAGATGCCACATGGTGTTGTTTGTCGTCTAAATAAATCCCTATATGGTTTGAAACAAGCCTCTAGGCAATGGTTTGCCAAATTATCCTCCACTGTTATTTAACTTGGATTCACTCAATCTCAGGCTGATAATTCACTCTTTATCAAGAAACATAATGCTCTATTCATTGCTATTTTGATATATATTAATGACATCTCTGAAGTGCAGCACTTGACTACTGTTCTAGATAGCAAGTTTAAGCTAAAAAATTTGGGATCTTTCAAATACTTCCTTGGTTTGGAAATAACTCGTTCTCCAAAAGGAATTTTCCTCTGCCAACGAAAGTATGCCTTAACAATTCTACAAGACTCTGGTCAACTTGGATGCAAACCACAATCCACACCTTTAGAAGTTAATCTTAAACTTTTTGTTGCTGATGGTGATCCACTGTATGATCCAACACAATATCGTAGGCTCATTGGAAAGCTTCTTTACCTCACTGTATCTAGACCTGATTTATGTTTTGCAGTGAATCATTTGAGTCAGTTTATGTCAGCACCAAGGATTCCACATTTACATGCTGCATACCGTGTCCTAGCATATCTGAAATCCACTGTTGGCCAAGGTGTCTTCTTTTCTTCTTTTTGTGATTCTGATTGGGCTTCATAACCTGACACTCGCAAATCTG